AGGCCCGCGCAAGAAAACTTTCGTGGTCTGACCAGTACTTAGGGTGCCGTCTGTCGGCCCTCAACCTCCAGGGTCGTGAGCTCTGTTGTACAGTCTGTAAGAGCTCGGCGACGCCTGACTTTAGTCAACCAACTTTAGTCCACTGGTGTTTGTTTCACTTGCTGAATAGCCTACGGCGATGTGTTTTTTCACAGCTCTAGTTAGCCGCGCCGAATTCGCTCTTGAATTTGGCGTGTCGCCAGCGCCGCGCATGGGACCAGGTGACGGTTCTGCGATCTCAAAGTCAAAAAAGTCAACTGTCCTCCGCAATCACATCTCCCTCGTGGGCTTCCGCCTGGCGAGTGGTCTTTCTTGCGAAAACAGCGAGACTATGGGGATCTATGGGGCACAACAGTGCCTCCACTGCCAGGAGCAGCGGCAGCGAGTAGGTGCTAAAGGCCTCGCAGTGCCAAGTCTTCGCAATAGCAAGATCTGCCTTTCTGCTTCTGAGATGCAAGCAAAATGCTCGCTCCCGAAGCTGAGGCCTGCAACCTGTGCAGCTGTCGGAACAGCATCGGGTGCCTTCTTTTGAACTCGTCTGAGAAGGCTACCCCACCACATTCCCAAATAGACGCAACATAGGCCCACACCTGAAGGAAGCGGCTGGAATCCGGAAGATTGGCAACGGGGGTTGCTCTTGATCGCAACACTGCTGCGCTTGGGGTCGTGCCCTGGAACAAGCCGGCGACGCATAGTAATTCCGAAATGGCAGCTGTGGTGCCTCCGCCGTGGAAAAAGAAAGAGACAGAGAGACAAAGGAAGGTTCAGAGGGACAGAGAGTGAGGTAAGCCAAGACGAAGGCTTGCCAAATCGTCCACTCGTGCCAGCCACCTGAAACACACTTGAGCAGCTTGCATCTGCGTGCTTGAGTGCGACATGTCAAAGCTGCCTCCATGCTCGCGAACAGCGCCGAAGTCCCTCGTCAAGTGGCTGAAATATCTTGGATGGAAAACGACCTTGGAGTGGCAAGGAAGCCGGCCAAATTGCCCGAAGCTCGAAGCTGCTGTTTTGACTTCTTGCCGAATACAAAGTATACCCGGGCAAACTAGCCCGCTTGCACTGCATCAACCAAGGTATTGACTCCAATGCAAACTAGAGACGGCACGCCAAGCTAAAGGGCGATCCTTGAACACCAATTCGATCGTGAAACCGCACACAGCCGATCTTGAAGAAACATATGACATATGCAATTGCCAAATATGCAAAAATATATGACCTCTGCATCAAATTCTAAATGTCGGGCACCACGGCACCATGAGAAGCAGTTCTCGGCATGTGCATAATTATGTGACAGTGACAAGCTGCCGGCACGACCGCGAACTAAACAAGCACGAGCCCGACAAATTAGGCTTCAAGCTCTAGAACCCCGATGGTGCAACTCACGATAGCATCATCTGTGGCAGTAGGAAGAAGTAGCTACCAGTAGTGGTAGGCAGAGCTAGGGGGAAGGCAAGAAAGTAGTTGCCTGGGAGTGGGCTCATCAGACAGCAGGCCGAGAGAATACACATCAACCATCACAACGAGTGGACGCTTCATGGCGGAAATACACATCAGCGGAATTACACATCGCGCCCAAAGTAACTCCCTTGTCAGCAATCATGTAACTGCCGAGTGAGCCGCACACTGTCTCGTAAATCCCATTGTTGTGCATTTTTTCACCACACTGCTTCACATTTATTTTACCTTTTATTGAAACAGTCGTCTGCCATATTCTCCATGGATCGGACCTCCGAGTTCTAGCCGTGCCGTGTGTTTGTCGGAACATGTTGCCGCGGCACGATCCGACAGGCATGAAGCAATCGAGCTACGAGAACTTGACATGATCCGGCGTAAGGAATCGCCAGAAGTTTCGGCAGTTTTAGCACATCCAAACAAGCAAACTCTTTGATCGGTGCGGGGACTGGGGGAAGACCAGTGGAAAGCAACAAGGCGGCTTCGTTGAAAGCCACGGAGCTCAGGCAATTTGTCATCGCCTTGCTTCTCCCAACTTTGCGCCGGGTCACATCTGCATCCGCAACTGTGAGGATCACTGAAGCAGGATCCACGGACTCCTGGCGACGCATCGTAAGTGTCCGAATCACCCATCCTGGCCTAGCTGAATAGGCGCCTTGAGAAGCTCTCTGTGAGCCTCCCGAACCGCCTCGGAAACGAGGCATTCAAGGCTTCGCAAGCCGACGCGAAGCCGCTAAGCTAGATGCCCACTTCACATTCGAAGCCTTCCCAGGAACTTCTGGATCCCATGAGCCTCAGACATTTTCTGCAGGCTCATGTTTGCGGAGTCCGGCGCCAGAGTATGGCATCTGCCATCTGCGTGCTCCTCTCGCAGATTGGAGGGATGACTGGTGCTTCGAAGCCTGTCAAGAACAGAAGTGCCGACGAAGTGAGGGAGGTAGCTGCACAGAGCCGCCGGCGTAGAAAAATACTTGGAGAAACCCCGGGAGAGCTGCGCGGCCTGCAAATGAAACCACTCGGAGAGGTCCGGATGCAAGAAGCGAAAGCGCCTTCTCCAATCCTGCCGGTCCTTCGCGTGCCTTTCCAAAAGAGCCATGTTCTGTGTAAGTGTAACCGTGCAACCAAGAATCGGCCAAGCTGAGTGCAAAACCTCCATAGCAAGAACCACATGAAAGGAATGGGCCCCATGTGCCTGCGCAACGACATCGGCGAAGGATCAACGGGCCACAGCAAAAATGGGATCTGAGCGAAGCAGAAAGACTGCAAACAGGCCTGAGCCAGCGATGTCAGAGTCTGCGACAGCATCTGAAGATCCTGGAGCCAGGGCTTGCTGGAAAGATTGCACAGCCATCACAGCTTTGGCGATGGTAACACAAGGCAAGCCTCTGCTCTTTTTCAGCATCGCCGCTCAGCTCTTCGACTTTTTGCACAAGCCCACTTCACTTCTAATGGCGCCCCGTCCCGAAGTCTGAAGGCTCGGGCCGGAGCCATAGCCATACAGCTGCAAGTTCTGACCATCCCAGTCCCGGTCTTCAAGACAGGACAGCTGTGATGCTCACAGCCTTCCCAAGGACTGCGACAATTCTGCTCGGACGGACTGACCAAAGGTCTCAGATCCGTGCTGTGGGCTTTCCGAGGCTGTGCTGGCCTTGGCAGCAAGGAGCCGGCTTAAAAGATCGAAGCTCAGGATCTCTTCGAGACAAGCCAAGGATCGAAATGCGAGGCTTGAGCTGCGAGGATGTCTTCAAGTCCACGGGGGGGTTGCCTCGCATCAAGCTTCGGAAATGCTATCCCAAGCTGCGCTGTGCTGCACATGGCAATCCTTTGGCGTCTGCGGTGGGACTTGGAGTGGCAAACTGTGTTGAAAGACGCTGCTGCGCGGATGGTCTACCCTACGGCCCTACGGATCCCGATGAGCAATACCACTTAACACAAACTTTCAACATCTGCTCGGCCGAGCCCTCGGAACTGGACTCTTCGCTCGATCTATCTCAAGCTTGGGTTGTACACTTTGGCAGCAGAGCCCCCGGGTGTGAAATAGCTCGCTGGCCTCCGAAAGTGCAACCAGCCATGTCCTCAGCGCGACACTCACTGGATGTGGTGGCGCAGAACTTGGAGGCCAATCCTTTATTGCTTGGTGCCTCTGAGGCGCGACGGCAGAATTCCAAACAACAGTGAAGAAGGACGGCCATCCTTAGAATTCTCTGTCTCAGTGTACGTGTAAGACCTCACGTCGAGTTGACACCTGAAGCATGGACGGACTGTGTTGACTGTTTCGACTCGAAACATTCATCGTACCATATGAGCCCGGGTGGCTTTGGCCCTCGATTGAGGCTCTTGCCATCATCCGTTCCAAGGCATGCAAAGCGACTAGGTGTTTAGGTGGGCGGCGCGACTGAACCACCAATAGCGCCAACCTGCAGCCAGTCTCCGGCGAAGAAGGGCAGAATCAATAGAACCTGCACAGGAGATCGCGACAACTTGCGTGCCGCAGGCTTGGTCGGCGCCGCGGAAGAATCAATGCTTTGCTGGCGGAGGCTGTCTGAGACGCGCCAGCATCATAAGACTTGGCTTACCTCACATCCTGAATTGCTGCCGGCAGGCGAAGCAGAAAGCCAGAGGGAGCGCCAGCATGAGGCAGCACACCTGGTGTGCAGCAAATCTTGGTTCTGGCCACAGTATTGGTTCAGTGCTCGGGTGTAGGTCTGTGTCTCGCGTCAGCCGTGTCTGGTTTGACAAGGTCTCCTGAAGCCTTTTCTCAACTTTTCCCAGCCATTCGGCCTTACATGTAGACAGGGCATTTCGAGTGGTAAACCTATTGCACTGGAGACTTCCAAATTCCCTTCATTGACGTTAAATTGTGGAGCCTGTCGTCCCTCTACAAGACCGACTTCTGCCACTTTGGAATTTTGGCTTAGCTTGGGTGGCTGGCGGCGTGCAGTTGAGTGCAGAACGGATACAGCGCTCAAATTTCTGAACCTTGGGGTTGGTTTTCGACACGGAGGTGGATTGTGAAATGATAACTCGCCGAGTAAGGGGGCGTCAGGGGATGTACATTGGAGATGCGCAAAGCACTCTTCACGGATTTCTCGTGTCTGAATATCACTTGAAAAGTGAGATCAACACAACCCTGTGAAACACAAGGTGAACGGAAGGCACCCACAATCCTTAAAACTTAAAACAGGCAATCCCGTCAACCGAGAACTCTGGAGGGTGCCGAAATGCACTGTTTATCCAAAGGGCACAATTAAGGAGGGACACCCCGGTTGCAAGGAGGACCAAAACGGTTCATAGATCCTGGCCTGAGGTCTAGCAAGATTGATGTAAACACTGTATGGCCAGACGATGGAGCAGCAATGTGAATGCTTATATCAAAGTCTTGCGTTTCCATGCACCACCTGTAATCTCAGTCTATGCCCGGTGTACTACACCAGGCAAGCGCGCCAGACATGCTTTGGTTTCCTGCTCCCATGAAACCCGGAGTTTTGCCAAACTATGATCTGACTCTTCGATCCCACTCAAGCTTGTTCATCCGCACTCTGGCCTGAAAAGAGAACGGAACACGGAAGGGGCCTCAGAACTTGCAACCGCGGTGGGGAAGCGACCGGCATCAAAACCAACACGTTGTGGCATCTGAGGCAGAGACGTTCCATGTCGTTGTGTCTTCCTGAGTTGTGGTGTTTTGACGTGTGTGTTCATATCAATATCTGCTTCGAGCACAGCTCGAAAATCCGAACTGGGCGAGCCAAGGTACTTCTAAGGTGCAGAAATGCGGAAAACTCCAGTACCTCGTCATGGGCTCGGCTCCGTTGCACAATAAATACACCCAAGCAGCAATTTCGCATTCTAGCGCTTGTTGATTGTCCCATTCCCTGTAGTGATCTCCAATTCAAGGGACTGCTGTAGGTCTGTGCCTGCGCAAGGCAATAGACGGCGTTGAGCACATTGACAATCGCGCTGAAACTTGAGGAAGAGCTCAGCACCTCGAAAACCACGATAGGGACTGCAAACATGTGAGAGAGAGAGAGAGAGAGAGAGAGAGAGAGCGAGCGAGAGAGAGCAAGAGCGAGCGCGAGAGATCATCCTTTTATCATAATATCCTCTCTCCGGTGGCTAGAGTCAGCAGAGCTAAAGTGCACCGCGCGAGGGCATCCGACGAGCGAATCCGGAGCGAGATCAATGGATGACATAACCGATAACCAACTGTGCACCGAGCATCCCTGCTTTCAGGGACAGCGAGATGCATCGACATCCTAGATTAACGTGTTTTCCGGTGATGCCTTTTCGAGCCAGATGCCCACGCGCCTCTCGGCTGAAGCGTAGCCTACACGCACAACCCTCCACCTCCAAATTGCCAGTGGCGTCATGAGAAGGACGGATGAGCGGGCTAGGTTTCTGCGACGCTAGGCGAAAACGCGGAAAAGTCCCACCAAATCTCAGCACGATTGGGAGGAGAGGGGTTAGAATGTGTAAAGGAGCGGTCTAGGCTACTTACGACTTATGATCTTCACGACACAATTCAGAAGAAAAAGAACAAGAGCGAGCAGGTCAAAGTTTCCCTGCTGCAGGGTGCATAAGGAGACTCGAGGTGCTTGTGCTGGCTGAGCTGAGCTAAACTTGTCCCGTGACACTACACATTTCCCTGCCAACACGAATGTGTTGATCTGTTTCAGCTCACTGTTTGCACTCACACTCCCGTGACGTTTTAGGATGCGGAAGCTAGACAGCCGTAAACCTCAAAGGCAGAAACATGAGGCACACTTACACCATGTAGCAGCTGCCAACATGACGCGACATAGCCGGCACTGCCCTGCTCATGCATGCTCAAGCCATAGCAAACGATGTCTTCAGGCCTTTGCCAGACTCTGCCAGACCCTGACGGAATAGGAACTGCAATCCCGGCAAATGGTAGCCGAGTGCTCCCACTCTCTCCATCTCCCCCTAGCCTCTATGCGCTGCTTCAGACGGATTTGTCCACTCCACCCCTTTTGCGCCCCGCCGCGTAACTTTCTCAAGCGTGTGCCGCTTCCCAATTCCCACTCTCCAGGTCTTTTCCGGCCCGAAGCTTGCTACGCTTGCTCACTCCCAACCGCCGTTTAACTCATTTAGGCTTGCCACTCCCAATCCCTTTTTGGAATGCGTAAGCCCTTGCAGTTCAATTTCGCCCAAATGGTGACGATTATCTTGACCCGACGTCCGCTCGGTGTTACCCACAGAACATGTATCATAACAAACGCTGTCTGCATCTGCATGGTGAGCCTGCAAACATCCGACACTGCACAACACCGTCTTGAACAGCTGCATGTAGGGCAGCCGCCAAAACCAGGATTGCAATCAAGAACAGGCCAACAGAGGGAGTGTCGAACCGGGATCGGTGTCCAAAGCAGCTCGGCAACCATCCATCTTCTGCCATGCCTGACGCAAGCGGAATTTCGATCCCCCACGCTTCTATGATAAGCGCTGGCTTGTGGCCTTGGAGCTGAAAAGCACCCTCTGCCATTTCCGACAATTGTTGTGCGAGACAGCTGACAGCTGCACCAGCAATGACCCATGACCTCGTCTGCGTGCCAGTGGAGTTGCACATGACTTTAACAGATTGTCGCTAACCGAACAGGTTTTGGTGATCCTCAGTCAAGGGCTTAACGAACGGGCCACCCAATTGACCGCCCACCACAGCCAGCTCCCCTGACTGCCAGTTCTTCCAATCCGCCGTTGGCCCAGGGATGCCAAGGCCGATCAACCTCGATGAGATACTCGTCTCTGTGAGCCCTTGCGCAGTCGCTCGTAATCTTTCCGAGGCACAATGGGAGAAGGTACGAGAGTACCACGGCGATCAAAGCCAGAGCCAGAGCCTTTGGGTACGCTCTCTCCGCATCTTGCACTTCACCTGCAAGTGTTGAAGCCGAATCCCAGTAGTTGAGATTCCAGAAGAGGACGTTCCTCAGACTGCAGGAGCCTAAGAATCGGTTTGATGCACCGAAGGTTCTGCCAGGCGGCAGAAAGCCTGACCAGTCGACCTCTGAAGCCTCAAACAGGGTCTTAACCATGGCAGCTCGACAGCGGTTGAATTCAACAGCCCAACTTGTGCAAGAGGCCGGAGGAGAGATCAGTAGCTTGGACGGTTGAATCTTCGGTGCACCGACCACAACCATGAAGGCGAATGGGGACAGAACGAACCCTGCAGGTCGCGACAGGCACAGCACAAGCATACATGCAACATGGCTGCATTAAACATGTCACTCAGCCAGACTTATGCAAGCCCTGGATGCAACGCCAAATTGATGTTTCGCTTCCAAAAGCTTTCAACAGCTCGAACATGCCTGCAAGCGCGAATGCCTTGGACGGTCTCGGTCACCGCGGTTCATTGTTGCATTGTCTGAACTGCTGTACAATGCCTGACGTACATGAAAGACTTCAGAGCTTGCATCCGAGGAGCAACCCAGCCCACGATACTCAACCCAACATAGTTCAAAGCAGTGATCGCAAGTGTTATCGCGGCGATGAAGATGTTACCCGCAATGCCAGATCCAATCTCAGGCCAAACTGTCACCAAATAGTCCAAAAAAAGCACTGGATACAGGGAGGCGTCGGCCACCTTGACAGAAGCATCAGCTCGCAGGGTGGACGCAGTCGAAGCTCTGCTACTGGTAATCCAAGGAAACACTGCCGCTCGCGGCAGTGTCAGACAGAGCTGATGAGGAAAGACCCCTTCTGCAGATGCAGGAACGGACGAAGGTTTCTGGGCAATGTCGGATGTGAACACAAGTGCCCAGTCGGTGGTTTTCAACACAGGCATTCGAAAGCGCGACTGGCGGCTTCACCTGACTGAACTGCTTACTGCCTGGGCTTCGTCCTTGCTCTGCGATTCCAGACTTCTTCCAGCTGGCATCGCAGCGATTAAACAACAGGCGCATGCACCAGGTTCTGCACAAGTCTCAGTCCAAGGATCTGCGCTGAGCCAAGACAGGAAGCCCTCCACAAAGCCCCAAAACGGGCCAAAAGCGGCAGTCACCCACTCCTGCGAAGGATGAAAGATCGAGAAAGGTTCGTAGAAGCATGCCTACATGTGGCAGTTGGACGAGTCATTCACAATCGACCAAACAAAGCCTTTAGATGCTCGCCGGCATAATCCATCATGAACAAGAATCAGCAAGGATGTCAGTGTTAAACAAGAACCGTCAACTTTAGACACCCCTGTGCCCAAGCCTGTACCTCGCACTATTTCGCACTCTGATCCTTTCAGTGTTCATGTGGAGAAGCTGCACCGAGAGTGAAAACGACACTGACTCATGTTAAACAAGGGAAACTAATCTAAGCCTCGGATGGTTTGGGGCGGCAACCAGAACGTCCCTGGGTTTCACGCTTCGGGCTGCGGGAAACAAGGCTTTCGGGCTTGAGGTCCAAAGAGTCAATCGCGCTACCTTGGGAGATGAAGGTCGACCAGTGCAGAGAGGCCGTAGGGTTGATGAGGATTGAAGGCTTAACTTACTGATGTGTCATGTGGACGACGCATGCTAGCATCGGTGCCCTTCGGTGCAAAGCTAGCCGAGCTGAGTGCTGGCTGAGCGTCCACGAAGCCAGCATTGCTCGGGAAGCAAGTTGCAAGCTCAGCGGTAACCAGTGCTTCTGGTACCGACCAGACCAGAGGCATGACAAGGAAGCCTGCGAAGAAACTTCTTGAACAGCTGCAAACACGCGCTCCCCTCGAGCTGGCTTGGCCTGTGAGGGACAGTAAAGGACCAGCAGAAGACACTGCATCCTGCCCGGTCGTGGTGAGAGCTGGCGAGGATGCGAGGCTTTGGGGACTATTGCGGGCCAATTGCGGGTGAAGCACGATCAAAGAAATCAAAACATGGAGCAAGTACCCGGATTTGCAGTTTTTCGAGCTCGCATCGACTTGCAGGTTTACAGGTGCTCGCATGACGGTTTACCGGAAAAGACGAAATCGAGGGAAGCGCCTTTGTGCAGTGTAACAAGCTACAGCGAGCTCCAACTCGTGGGTCTCCGAGGGCCACGATTGTTCTGTTTCAACGTCGCCATTCTGTCTCGTTTTGGGCCCACGAGACCTGAAGTCTCAGCACTTTTGAACTCGAAGTCGCGATCTTAATCATCTGACGTCGCTAATACGATTGCTTTTGTTGCCACAACTACAATTGCTACTGCATGAATCACGAGCATCCGAATATTTCTACCAAACTTGCAACCATGACTTGCTAGCTCATCAGGCTAAGATTAGTCTTGATAGTATTTCTGTGATCGACATTTTCTGTCATTATCTGCTGGCATCGTCACGGTTATTGCGATCGATGTTGTCCTTGCCCTATGTCCATTACGACTGCAACCAGAAATTGTGTTACAAGGGTCGTAATGCCTCATGAACTCGACTGAAAAATCTGCTTCCTCTTCCTTGAAGGCCTTCCACATCCCTGCGCGTCAGAACACCTGCTTCCGGGCCCTTGGAACCCTTCCGAAGAACCCTTACGCAGCATCCATTTGCAACGTTGTCTTCCCACAGTCGTCGTCGTAGTGGTCGTAGCAAGTGTAGCTGCAGCAGGAGGAGGACAAGGAGTAGTAGTAGTCAAGTAGTCGTCGTCGTAGTAGCAGTAGCAGTCGTCGTAGT